TAGATTGCTTCTAAATGAATTATTAACAAAAACAAGGATAAAATTTAAAATTTATTTAAAAAAATTGAACTTTTTTTCGCAAGCAAAAACAAAAAAATAAAAAAGAGAGTGTAAAAATTACTACCACGTCATAAGTTAAATGTTAAATAAAAATAATACGTGGGTACTAAATCTTCCCTCTGGCCAAAAGGCTGTTAAATCAAAGTGGGTTTTTAAAACAAAACGTGATGAAAATGGAAATCCTTTGCGTTGGAAAGCTAGGCTGGTTGCAAAAGGATTAACGCAACGTGAAGGTATCGATATCAACGAAACATTTTCTCCATTAGTCTATCTATACGATATTTGCTCGCATTAGCTGTAAAACACAACATGCATATATGTACATCAAATGAATTCGGTATGTGCATATTTAAATGGTTCACTAGAAGAGATAGTTTATATGCAACAGCCAGAAATGTTTGAACACGGTACGAATAAAGTTCAAAGAACTTCAAGGATCACTCTATGGGTTAAAACAATCTGGTAGGGTTTGTGAAACCCTTAATAAAAAATTAATAAAAATTGGACTATCTAGAAGTGAAGTTGATCAATGTATTTACTATAAAGTTACGGATAAGGAAATGCTATATGTCGCCATTTACGTAGATGATATTTTGATATTTTCAAATAATCTAAATTTGATTAAGTCAGTAAAGAATAAAATTAACAATAAATTTAAAATGAAAGATATGGGCAATATCTAATCAATTCTGGGTATAAAAATAACACGATCTAAAGATTCAATTAAAGTTGATCAATCGAAATACATTTCAGATGTTTTAGCCCGTTTTGGAATGAGTGATTGCAATCCAACATTAACCCCGATTGATTACAATCAAAAGTTAACAAAATGTATGTGTCCAACAGATGACGTAACTAAGGAACAAATGTCTAAGGTTCCATATATGCAAGCTATACACGTCCCGACATAGGATATGCTGTAAACGTGTTAAGTCGTTTTAGTCCAAATCCTGCAAAACCTCATTGGGAAGCTGTTAAAAAGATTAGATATTTGAAAGTTACAATTAATAAAGGTATCGTAAACAAGGACACTGATGATAACATGAAAGGATATTGTGGCTGGTAATATAGATGATCGCCAATCAACCACTGGGTACATTTTTATATATCAGTCTAGTGCTATATCATGGAATACTAAAAAACAGTGGCATTGTCGTCAACAGAAGCTAAATTTATGTCAGTCACAGCTGCTATACTAGAATCCGTATGTTTAAAACGTTTAGAAACAGAATTAAACCTTAGATGCAATGTTGAAATAATTCTGTTTTGTGATAACAAAGTTGCCATTCAAGAAGTTATATTGAAATATACATATGTATTTCTACAAATGAGATTGTAGAAGAGATTTTTCCGAAAGCTATTACTCCACAAAAATTTGAATACTTTCCAGATAAATTTGGTGTTGATTAATTTGTTTATTCAAATATTTCTATTCATGAAATGAATTGTAATATTTGTTTATATTATTCTGTAAAGAATGCATGAGAAAATCTAGATATTTCTTTAGTAAATTTACATTCAGGGAGAGTGTTGGGAAGAAGAATGTAATTCAATAATATCATTCATTTACTCCTGCATTCATATATTTCTACTTGTAAATATTTGTATTTAGTATTCTGAATAATTTTTGTATTTTATATAATTTGGAAAATATTCTATGTAATTTTCATTTATACCCTTATGCTATGTTTCCACTGAGGTGTTTTGAGCAAATCTAGTGGATTTGGAGAAAACTAGTTGAAATCATGTAGACTTGCCATACATTTTTGACAAATCCAAATCTACTTAATCTACTAGATTTGATTTAAAACATGTTGAAAATGTATTTTTTCGAAAAAGATTTGCTTATACAACACTGCATTGTGCCTAGGATAAGCAAATACAACTATAGGCTATTCATTCAAGTTGAATGTTTTCATCGAAAAAGTGACTTTTCATTTTGAAATAAAAACAGAACAAATTATAAATATAAATTTAGTGGCAATTAATAAACAAATTTATACTTTTACAACTGTAATTTTGTATTTTTAATGTTTAAATTAAAAGAAATTAACATTACTGCCATTATATTAAAATAAAATGTTCGAAAATTCGAATATCAAAAATATCAAGCTCAGTGGAAACACCTTGAAGAGGTTTACGCAAATCTAGTAGTTTTAAAGCCAGTGGAAACATATACCCTTATTCTATAACTTAAACGTTCGTTCTGTTACCGTTCTTAACATAAATTTGTATTCTATAAACATTTTGTGTAAATTGTTATGTTTTTTAACATAAAACTGCTCTGTTAGTAACGAAATGAAATGTTAATTTCAACAATAGGTTTTTTTGTAGTGATAGTCGTTTTTTTTTTTGTTTCTTTAAATTGCAGAAAAATAGATATTTATGGAAATTCAAATATTAGGGGGTAAAACAGGGAAAAAATAGGCGAAACATATAAATATAGAAATGAGCAGAATTTTGCGAGTGATTCCAACTAACCGTTAAATTCTCAAATTTGCGGTAAAATTTGCCGGAGCAATAAGGAGCATGATATTAGATAAATGCCTAAATTCGATTATTTGGGAAATTATTACCATGATAAAAATAAAGAAGGTAGTGCCAAAAATTTTTTTTAAAAAATAAGGGTTTTTGAAGTTTTCTTTTCTCTTAATTATTATATGTAGCGTTGCCACAATAATAAAAAAATATTTAGATTTTCATGAAATTATTTATGACAAATGTGTAATTTAAAATTTTACATAAACCAAGTGATTGAAACCAAGTAGTTTTTTTTTACAACTTTTTGATATTATGAGGTTGGTTTACAAACATAGAAAGTCAATTTTGCTAATGTAAGCTGTATACACTTATCGAATGACTATACTCCATATTTAATTGTTGTTCGATTTATGTATAAGTAAAGAATTACGTGGTCGCAATGTTTTGAAACCAAATTTATACAATTTTACAAAATTTGCAGTTTCTTGGATAGAATATTTGCGGCTCTTAAGTTATGCAAAATGTATAAATGAGAAAATGTAAATGTATATCTCCAAAATGTGCTCTAGAAGGTATCTCTGCGGGAGAAGCTTAAATATTAGAAAATCGAACGTGAAAGTTTCGAAAAAAGGGCTTTTTCGCGAAGCACACTAAGAGCGTAACTTCAATATACTCAAAATATCGCGTGATCGAAATACTTTTAAATTTTACATGTTGAAATCATAAAGCCGCGATAAAATATTACCATGCAAAGATGGTAATATTTTACAAAAACATAGCGAATTTTCCATTTTTTACTTTAGCGAATTTTCGCATTATAAACAAATTTTAAATTTTGAATTTTATCTGTAATCAATCTTTATATAGAAAGAATTGGTTTGCATCAAAAAAATTTAATCAGGCCTTTCGTGGACTGAACACGCGCGGTTTCTTTCACAACATAAATCGATGAAGCACCTAAGCCGCTAATTTAAATTGGGGACATTATACATCAACCGGTAGCTGACAATGATGCTTATACGAAAATCGATAAGCCGTTTGAAAAAAGTTCTTTTTTGCATTAAAAAAGTATAAAAAAGTTCATTCATGTAAATATATAATTTCTTTACAAAATAATTAACCGGACTGGTTTTCATTTTAACAGTTTTTTTTATTAATAATTCATTTAAATTTAGAAATGAAAAAAAGCTGTTAATTGTAGATAAGAACGGATATGTTAATTAGAAAAGATATTTCATCAAATTTTTTCTTTAGCCGAAAACGCGGAGTTTCTTGAATTACTAGATAATTCGACGAAGCACACCTAAACCGCTAATTAAAATTGGTAACACTTAACATTCATCGGCAGCTGACAATGACGCTTATACCAAAATCGATATGCCGTTAGAAAAAAGTACGATTTTGTATTAAATGCATTGAAAAAAGTTCGGTCATGTGTATGAACTTTATTTCCAAACTTTATATAGATTTTCATTTTAAACGTTTTTATATTATTTACTCATTTAAATTCTGAAATGGAAGCAGAAGATAATTATAAACAAGCAGTTATTGGCTAACCACAAAAATATTTGCATCAAAGTTTCTCGTGTGCAGAAAACGCAGTGTTTTTCTTTAAAAAAAAAAAACTTGTGAAGCACACCCATCCCGCTAATTAAAATTAATAAAATTATGTACTTCTAGGTTGCTATTAATGAGGTGAATAGCAAAATCTATAAGTCGTTCGAAAATATACAACCATTTTGGATTTAATGCAATTTAAAAAATGCATTCGAATATATGCATAAATAAATTAAAACGTCATAATTTTTAATCTATCAAACATAAATGCATAATTTTTTAGTATTTATATACACTATCATCCTGACAATAATGGACTAGAGTCTAATCTCTAATCTGGACTATAGTATAGGTTATAGTCTAAACGAGAATCTTGTCGATAGTTTAAAGCAGGGACAGAAAATAATGATTAATTTAAAACAAAAAAATCAAATACAAGGATTAAGAGTAAAAGTTAATTGAATATACCATTTAATTCTCTCTAAAGATGCATTATCGGTCAAAACAATGATTTTTATTTTTTAAGTTTTATTTAAAAAACTTAATTTCAGGGTTTCAAAAAACTGCTAATTGCAGTCGCAAATTACTAAATATTTGACTAAATTTAGTACCATGCTTAAAAAATAGTAACTCGTTAAAATTTCCCCTTACAAGCTAACTGAAGTCAGTCAACTGTGTCAACACATTGCTGCAATAACTTGCAAGTGGTTTTGTTTTTCTTCAGCAGCCACACACACAAGCAGCGACATTGTTAAGTTTTTCAACTCAGCCGAACTGAACACAACGACTGAACAGTAAAAACAGTTTTGCGTGTGCTGCTTACGTATTGCGTAGTTTTTGGTTTCGTTTTCTTACTAAGGGACTTAAAAAAAACTGATAGTTTGACTGGTTAGTACCAAAGTAAATTTATAAAGTAGACTCAGTAGAACAGCTGACTATTTTTTTTAAAACTCACTTATGGACGAAAATGTCAAAATTGTTTACGTTGCAATTTTTGACAGCTTCAACCAAAGACTTTTATGTCAAATTATTTGCCATATTTGTTTTAGTGGAAAAAAATTAAATTGTGTGTTGTTTTATAAAAAATAAAAATAAAAGTGAAAAAACTTGAATTTTGTGTGGTTTATGTACTAAAAAATTATGAAAAGGTGTATAATTTGCAAGAAAATTTCCAAAAAAGGAAATGGGAGCTTTTTTATTGTCCCCACAGATGAGAGGAGGCGACGAAAGTGGATGGAGGCTTGCAAGATGCAACTCCCGGCACCTGCTTATGTGTGTATGGACCATTTCTCTCCATCAAATTTTATTAAAAGCGGTCGGTGTTTGAACTTGATATATGATGCTGTTCCTTCCGTTCAACCAATGTAAGTATATTCTACTTTTTCTATATTAAGATAACTTTAAGAATTTAATCTGAAATATTCTACTTTCAGAAACAACTTTTGTTTGGGTCTACGTGATCCTGCCGTTAATCGTCTTACTTTAGTTTATAGTTCGGGGAAAATGTTAAGCATTTGTTTAAGTCTCTTGCCTTCAGAACAAAACCGGGAGACACTACATTCGAAGATGAGTTTCATTTGTTATCACCAGTACACCCTCTGCAGCCACAGTTTTCCAATAGGTAAGTAGAAAAAGATTTTCTATATTAAGATAACTTTAAGAATTTAATCTGAAATATTCTACTTTCAGAAACAACTTTTGTTTGGGTCTACGTGATCCTGCCGTTAATCGTCTTACTTTAGTTTATAGTTCGGGGAAAATCTTAAGCATTTGTTTAAGTCTCTTGCCTTCAGAACAAAACATCTAATGGGATTTTCAGCTGTTATGCATGATTATAGCAGTAACACTGCTACATCGTTTAGTGCTGAAGATCCAAAGAAAATAAAAAAAAATGATGAAATACATTCGGGTACCGAAGAAGATTGACAATTTATGTTGTCCATTCTAGATGGATCGGATAATAAACCATCAAAAGAAAATTATTCACAATGTACAATATTGATACTACGGCTTGTTTATTCATACAATGCTGGCGATATTTTATAGTTTTCATTTACTCTATGAGGACTTTAAATTGGACGATATTATGCATGCACATTTGTTGCCATTAGCCAAGGTGAGCCAAGCAAAGTTAGCCAGCAATTTAATTTCAAATGAATATTATAAAATATTTGGTTTTATTTTCCTTAATTAGTTTCTGCATCAATTGGCCTACGTAATGCAATTACAATCTTATACTTTTCGTCATGCTATGGATTTTCCTTTGCTGGTGAAAAATTGTTCCAAGACTTGTATTTTAACCGAACAGCATGGTTCTCAAATGTCTTACAAGGAACTTTCACAGGTGCAAGCTCCTAGTGTTTTTAACCAACTGAATGCATTGCCGTATAATTATGTGGAAGGTAATAATAATAATTGTACTTTTGCTACACTAAGGGGGTTATTTCGTAAATCCTTTGCGTTGAACGCATCACCTACACTTCACATTCAAAAGTGAACACTTTATCATACGGAGCTACTCGATCGCGTATTAGGTGAAATCTGTATTCCAACTTTATTGATACATTGGAGCACCGTCACCGAGTTCTATCGATATTACAATGGAGTGACTTTAGCTATGTATGTATATGAAGATTGTGTAATGTTATCCAATCGCCATTCAGCTACAAAATCTGGATAAAATTCATATATGGATATAAGTGCTCTAATTTCAGAGAATGAGTTTCATTGTAGTATCAATAGAAATATATACCAATTTGCGTCCTTTCCCGTACGAGGTCGAGTAGCTTCAATATCACAACTTTTCCATAAAGATAGCTGTTACATGTACATAATTTATTCAATAAAATTTCAAAGCGAACGCCTGAATAAATTAGGTGTTCGATTTGAAGTTTCAAGTGTGTATTTTTCAGGTGATGCGTTTTATAAAATATAATTTTTTATACATTTTTCACAAATAACGAAGCACTTGTTTCAACGCAAACAATCACCTGCCATAATGAAGTGTTTTACAAAATACAAATTTAAAAATTGATAGGTGAAGTGAGGCGTAGGGATTTACGAAATTATGCCCTAAATAAAAGTTCAAATTATTCGCAAAATATGAACATAGTCACGGAAGACTCCTTATCGGCTCGTTGTCCACCCTCTAAAAGTGGCATATCACAAATGGAAGGTGCTTTAGATGATGGCATGGATAATATAGGTACCAAATTCTTAAGTCTACGTTATCCGGATGATATGCGCATAACAGATAGATATTACACAATCGCCTGGAACTTCTGATCATGAATTTATTGAGGAGCAAGAAAAACAATTATTTACATTGTGCACTCGTACCATGACTTTACCTTTGGGTAGAGGAGGTATGTTTACTTTAAGAACCAACGGAATCAATGCCAATACCAAAACTATGTCTAACCAGCAAGAAACCTATTAAAGGAACCACTGTTGAAATGCAGCAAATTGAATTCCAGGCCAATATGAGTTTATGGCCAACATTTCATAATGGTGTAGCAGCTGGCCTGAAAATATGATCAAATGCACGGGATGTACCCTCCACCTGGATTGTTTACAATAAGCCAAAACGACCAGCCGAGAATAAGTGAATAAGTCCAGAAGTAGTTTCCATATTTCTTGGAGAAAAAATACTATATTTCTATTAAATGTATGTCAAACTTAAATAAATTGCTGACACATTTTTTATTTATTTGCATTTTTATTTATTCTTAAACTAAACTAATAAAATGTCTTTTACTAAAATATTATTTTTTTGTGTTGTTATCAAAGAAAATTTTTGTAAACAAAGATCATATGATTTTGACAGCAAAGACCTTAAACCAAAAACAAAATCGTTTGTGGTTTTTGTAAATGTTGTATTTGTTGTAGAACTGTCGCTACTTTATTAATTTACTTTGGTTAGTACAAATCAAGCCGACTGAACAATAAAACTTGATGGGTTGTTTGTTCATTAAGACTTTGTTATTGTATGCAATTTGTTTTAGTATATTGTATGTTTTTGTGTTTAAGCAATACGTAAGCAGCACACGCAAATCTGTTTTTACTGTTCAGTCGTTGTGTTCAGTTCGGCTGAATTGAAAAACTTAACATGGCCGCTGCTTGTGTGTTTGGCTGCTGAAGAAAAACAAAACCACTTGCAAGTTATTGCAGCAGTGCGTTGACACAGTTGACTGACTTCAGTTAGCTTGTGAGGGAAAAATAAATACTTGAACTTTCTTCAGTTCAGTCGACATTTAAAAAAATAAAACTAAAAACTAAATATTAAACCCTGCCTAATTTTAATTATTATTCGTTGAGTTTTATATATTACTCAGAAAATAATAATTTTTCTTAAGTTTTATTTTTTTTGTTCAAATCATAACGATTATTTTTGATTTTTATATTTTTCATTGAGAAATAAAAATCAATTTTAAGTTTTATTTTTTTACTTGAAAAATAAAAATTATTATTGAGTTTTATTTTATTTTTTTCAAAAATAAAACTCAATATGAAAACATTTTCTTTTATAAAATGTATGGAAATATGACTTTTTATAATATTAAATGTAGTTTTTAAGCTTTTCTTAAGAAATTTTCAAAAAAAAAAAAAAAAAGGAAAGTATGCATTTTAACTCTTCACTATCTAAAACGCATAGCTATGATAATATTGATATTTATAAAATTTTCAATATGGAATATCTGCATCCAATATAAGGTTTAGTTTCCAATTCGAATTTTTATGTTATGTCAAAGTTTTTTCGGATTGCATAAACACTCATTTATGGATACATTATCTCTTTTTATACCCACAAATATTGGGGTAATCTGATTTTGTCATTTCGTTTGTAATTCGTCGTAGTCGTAGACTCACATAAGTTCATACATACATATATTCTGGGTCCTTATAATATTCTAAGACGATGTAGTCAAATACAAACATCTGTCTGTTGGATGCACTATATAGTGCAAACAGAAAAAGCAAGGATGCTGAAATTGAAAAGTCCTTCCAGAATAAAGTTTAAATTCTTATAAATATGTTTATTATATAGCAATTGTGATCAAATACTACCCAAGAATATAAGTAGTCCGAAATCACATGTAAAATGTGACGAAAATTAGGTCTCATTTGTCCATAAAAGACACTCTTTCGAAAATCGCCCTAATGCTCACATTGTTTCGATATATCATAATATAGTGGGTACAGTGTTAATCCAATAAGTGGTTAATCGTAATAAATAATTCCGAATAGATTGATACACAATCATCTTCTTAAGACCGCCTTCCAAACTCACTTTAAGTTTATTAGATACGTTTAGATAGTGACAATACATATAAGATTCGGCTTGCCTGAATATAACACAACTACTTCTTTTTAATATTATAATAACATTTTAATCAAAATTTCATTTATTTGTAAGAATATATTTTCATATTAAGTTTTATTTTTGAAGAAAATAATATAAAACTCGAGAATAACTTTTATTTTTCAAGCAAAAATATAAAACTTAAAAATGATTTTTATTTTTCAATAAAAAAACTTAAAAATAATAATTATTTCTTGAACAAAAAATAAAATTCAAGAAATAAATTTTATTTTTGAACAAAAAAAAAAAAAAAAAAACTTAACATTAAGTTTTATTTTTGAGGAAAAAAAATTTTTATCTTGAAAAATAATTATTAAATATTAAGTTTTATAATAAAACTTATAACAGTTACTGTCTCTGGTTTAAACTATAATGTAGTCGATAGTCTGGACCATAGCCTAGTCTATACTCTGGACTATAGTTTAGTCTATAGTCAGGACTATCTAGAGTCTGGACTAAAGTCTTGTCTATAGTTTGGACTATAGTCTGGAATAAAGACTATACCTTGCTTATAAGGTAGTATACATGGACAGCTAGCTGACCGATCACACAGAAAGGCTATCAACCGTTTTATAAAATTTAAAGCAGACATTATTATCATCAGCTCACATACGAAACACCACTAAACGTTTCGTTTTAGCAATAAAACTTGTTTCGTTAGAATGAATTTGCAAAGTCCCTGTTTCTTTCTGCAAGTCTGCACACCAAATTTTTCATTTTCATTTCCTGTAAATGTTTAAAGTAATTAGCTTCTGTTACATATTGAATTCGTTATTAGTCCTACCTTTGATTGCAATTTAAATCCAAATGATTTGGATGTAACAAATTGTTAGATTTTTTTATTTTTTTAAATGGTTTCAGAAATTATTTAATTTTTAGATAGAAACTTTCAAAATTATATAAACTTTTAATGAAAACTTCAAAATCCTTAAGCATGTCAGATAGAGAATTTAAAAAAATAAAGAGAGAATGACACTACCTTCTATTTTTCTTCCATGATTATGATTATTACAGCTTAACTCCTCAAATATAATAACTCCAACATCCATGTGTAGAAACATTTACAAATAATTTTGCATATTTTTTACATTTATTTGCAATTGTTTATATTTTTTCCCCGAATAGCTAAAACGTTTACAAAAATAATTATAATAATTTTGACAATTTTTGTTACCGTATAAAATAAAATTTATAATATATTACCACATCATTTTTTTTTTTTTTAATTTTCGAACAAATTATTTTTTTTAATTGTTCTAAACTTAAAAAAAATTGTGCATCTGGTAAATTTGAATTGATTTTCAAATTCACAAACCAATTTTAAAACTGTTATTATTATAGAATACAAAATATTCATGTTAACGTTTTTGTTTCTGTACATTTACAGAAACGAACAAAAAACAAGTTAGAGTGCTATATTCGGCTATGCCGAATCTTAAATACCCTCCATCAGCAAGCTACTTTTTATTAAAACTCATTTAAATATCTAATTTTCAGATAACTTTGCAAAATTTTTGCTTCCGTATTGAGGGTACTAACATTAATGCATATGTCAAATTAATTTTAATAAGGTCGAGAAAAATTTATATTAATTCCGTAGAATGATTTGTATATACAAAATACACATTTATGTCGAATTTTATCCCGATAACTTTGATTGACAATGTGCATTTGAGTAATTTTCGGAAATGGTCCTTATATGGGAATTGTGACCAATTATCGATCGATAAGGAAAAAATTTCGTATAATGATTTATATGCCAAAAAAATTCAATTCGAATTTTACTATAATAGATTTACTAATTAATGAAATATGTGCGTTTAGGTGATTTTCGGAAGTGCTTTATATGTATACGAGCTATAACCTTATACAAAACATATTTTTGTCGAATTTTATCAAGATATCTTTATTTGATAATAAAATATGTGCGCATAAGTGATTTGTTTGAAGTGGACCTTATATAGCAGCTATTACCATATATGGACCAATCCGGAAAATTTTGGAAGAGTGATTCATATAAAGATAAAACATATTTGTGCCGAATTTTATCTAGATAACTTTATTTAACAATTAAATATGTGCGTTTAAGTGATTTTCGGAGGTGGGACTTATATGGGAGCTATGACCAATAATGGACCGATCCGTAAAAAATTTAGTAGATTGATTTGTATGTACACAAAACATATTTAACTCGAATTTTATCACAATAGCTATATTCATCAATGAAATATGTACGTTTAGGTGATTTTCGGAAGTGGACCTTATATGGGAGCTATGACCAATTGTGGACCGACTGAGATCTACGTTGACTGTATGATTTCTGTTCATATTATATTTGCATGTACAAAATTTTGTGTTGATACAGATATATTTGAGGGAGTTATTAACGATAAACTAATTTCCGGGAATATATACCTTTGTATGGGGGCTATGGGAAATACTCGGTCGATTATAAAGATTTTGAACATAATTTATCACAGGCATAAAAAAATAATGTGTGATAAAATTCATCGAAATATCTTTGGTAGTTTCTGAGAAAACTTCAAAAGAATGTTGAAAAAAACGTAATTTTTTTCGAGGTAGTCTGAAATTTTTACTCATAACTTTTTACGTTGTATACCGAATTTGCTGATTTTCAATACAAAACTGCTTAGAATAATAATAAATATTTTGGGTGAATTTGGTTGATTTCCTTTGCTTAGTTTTAATGTGAGCGTGTTTTACACAGACAGACAGACGGACATAGCTAAATCAACTCAGAATTTGATAAGGACCCAGAATATATATACTTTGTTGGATCTTAGATGAATATTTCTTGGTGTTACACACGGAACGACAAACTTATATATACCCTCTATCACCACTGATGGTGGTGGAGGGTATAATTATAGAATAAGGGTATTAGTCTGTTCAATAAATTTATCAGAATAATATCTATAACGGAGGGTCGACAAAAAGGGAATATAACTATCTTTAACCAGAACATAGTGACTGATAATAATTATAATGAAAATTTTGTACTTCGAGGCAAATCCACAAAACTGTCCAGAAATTCTTTGAAGGGAGGATTTCCGGAAAAAATAAATACCCACACTGAAAATAATCCATACCTAATATACACGAAAATGTCGTACATTGTACGAAATGCTTCATGGTTTCGCAACACGAAATTCTTTCGTAATATATACGAAATTCTACGAAATATTTTGGTATAATGCAAAATAATTTTATATAATTTTAGAAAAAAAATTTGTTTATTTTACGATTCTTTTTTTAAATACATAATTAGGTTAGTTCATTTAAAAAATATTATTGTAAATTAAAAAAAATGAGAATTTAAAAA